ATTTAGTATCCAACTACTTCTGTATACTTTGTCTATTCATATGTAAAAACATTCAGCTCATGGGAAAATGGTTGCTCTGAAATGTTAGTACTTTAGTACTAATTTTCAAATATTTACATTTATTTACAAATATCTGCTGTACTCCATAGGAAAAAAAAATTGGGGTCTCAGTTCTTTCATAAACATTGTTTTCTTTAAAATGTGCTTCAATGTACATGCTTTATACAGTTTATCTTCCAATGGTACCTTTAGCTTTTAGCAAGTCTTTTTCTACTTTAAGCGTCAAAGGTTTTTATACTTTTGGCTAGTTTTTGATATTTTTAGCAACCTTTAAGTTCAAGCTTTGCAGCTACTTTTAGCTTCTTGGAACCATGTTAGCTTCCAGCCACTTTTGCTACTTTCAGTTTCAAGCTAACTTTTTGATATTTTAGCTAACATTTTGTTACTTTTGGCTAACATTTTAGCTATTGCCCAGCTTCTTTTAACTTTATGAACTCAGCGTTTCAGCTTTTCAGAAAATTTTAGAAAGGTCAGCCACCACTCAGCATTCACACGGCATTATCATTTATGCAGCTTCTCAAATTTACTCAACTTTCGCTTTTTTCTTTTGTAACCTCACCTCAGAAGTAGCAAAAATGTGGTACTCTGTGCGATAGATCCCAATGGGAATTTCAGCACTAGAGGAACAAAGTTTCTGGAACAATCTCCCGTAAGAGCCGATCCACAGATCTTCTTCTGTTATTTTCATCTAGAACAAGAGATCATGGGGTGCAATCATGCAGTGGTCTGGCCATTTTAACCACAGGGATGATTAGCAATATATTTAGGTTTTATGAATTATGTTCTCCCCTGTCAAACTCACAGCACAAAGATATCCTGATCCTGGGGTGGTGTCCAGTCCTAGAAGCAGCCTTGCAATAAGAATCATGTAATCCTTAACAAAAGACTGAAAACAATCACAGGAAAAAACAAATTTAATCACTTTGTATCAATGTTTAAAACATTAATTCTATAAAAAAGTAACTTGAGAAAGGTTTTAGTGACTGAACACAAGAGGGCACTTGTGCGTTTTGGTAGTGATGTTTCTCAGCTGTTTGGAAACACATTTTCCTACCTGGCACTGAGGGAAGTTGTCTGTGTACCAACCTGGTAGAGGAGAGTGTCCAACATGCTGATACTGAACACTCTGCCTGCAGCAAAGGGCAGGCGAAACATAAAGGCCAAGTTGGAGCCTTTGTCACGCTCTTTCTAAAAGGGAAATGGAAACTTTTTACAAATTTCCAAAAATTAATGACAATTATATTATGGAAATGAATTCCTATTTGTGTTTTGGTCTTACCTTCTCCAGCTTGGAGAGAGCCAGTGAATAGCAGTCCTTTGCTCTAAACTGCATGAACCTCATGTTGGATGGATGAGTAAGCTCCGTGATAATACTGAGACTGGGAAACAACCTGAATGTCACAGGATTAAAAAAAAACAACGTTTTTTTGTAAAGAAGGCATACTATTTCTACTTAAATCAAACTTTTTCCTAACAATAGTACTGCAGTTGATGCTTAAGTAGACCCTCATGCATAATGTTTTCTACGAACATACGCAATTACCTGAACATTGTCTGCACATTGACAATCGTTTTGGCATCAGCCATGTAGTCCTCTTCAGCGCTCATTGTGCTCTCTTTATCCACGACAACCAAGTTATCAGCGTAGATAATACCACACTGGAGAAGGCTGTCCAGGCTGCACCATAAACATGTACATGTTGATATGCTAGGAGAATACTGAGCATCTCAATACAGGTGAGTATAAACTCTTTTAAAAACACATTTTATGCAAATGATAAATAAAAATGATACCACTTTACAATAAAGCTCCCTTTATAGATGGCTGATAAATAATTTATAGAAATGTTATTAATTCCTCTATAAACAATTCAAAATAAATCATGAATAACTGCTTATTAAGCATTAGTTAAGGGTGAAAGAGACAAAACTGACCAGTTTCTTGCCAAATAGTGAGCCAAATCTGTTCACCTATATATTTCATATAGAGTTGTTATATTAAACATTTCAGACTACCTTGTAAGCACAATAAGCAAATTTAAACCTTTTTTTTAAATTATATAACATTGTACTTTATCACTGCCTTATAAGTATCTACAACTAATATTATACCCTAAAGAAATAGGTTTACAAATGTTTATTATGTTAGCAACGTAGTAACTTAGTCTGAAATGTTTAATACAACAACTCTAGATAAAATATTTAGGTGGCAGATTTGGTTCACTATTTGACAAGAAACTGCTCAGTTTTGTCTCTTTGTCACCCTTAATTAAGGCATACACATATTAATGATTTATGAAGTGTTTATAGAGGAATTAATAACATATCTATAAACTATTAGCCATCTATTAGGGGAGCCTTATTGTAAAGTGGTACCTAAAAAACAAATAAGTATAATAAAAGCTGAAGATCTGAGGGCCTTACTTGTCTATGGATCCAGCCATGTAATACACCATTGGGAAACAGCAAATGGCCTCCAGGAAATGATTATCAGGCCTGCAGGAAGCATGTGTGATATGGAAAAAAATGTTTTTCTGTAATTTTCTTAAAATAAAAACACAAACGATGCACAAATGCTGGGTTTGATGTGTTTGCAGACAAGAAACATTCAGCATGTCAGTTACTCAGAAGAATCCATGCAGATGACAAAAGCTTTTCCAGAGCTTTATTCTCTTTTGTTTCCCCTGGAATTTGTGCTTTCTATTGTTCAGTACACCCATTGTTTCACTACAAATCTAGTGCTGTTAGTATTTTTTACAGCTAAACAACGGAAAAATGCTAAAGTTTCTGAATTTTTGTGTAGTTAAGAGAGCTACACGAGTAGTTTTGTATGTTATATGTTGTTGTACAATATACTTTGCATATGATGTTTGACAAGCACGTTCAGTACCCAGACTTTTATATTACAAAGCCATGCTGTTGTAATGAATCCTCCACACAACTTAGCCTTGGCTTGTTGAAATATGAAAGGCCGTCCCTGAAAAAAATGTTGCATGAATGGGAGCATATTGTTCTAAAACCTGTGTAGACTTTTCTTCATTGATGGTGCTTTTCCAGATGTGTAAGCTGTCCATGTCATAGGCGCTGATGCACCCCTATACCATAAGAGAGGCAGGTTTTTGAACTGTCTCCTTAAGTAAGGGCATAATGGCAGTTTTTTTTTTTTTTTAAAAAGCATTTATAAATTTATTAGTCGAACCACAGAACAGTTTTCCACTTTTCTTCAGTCCATTTTAAATTAAATTTAGCCCAAGAACACGACATCTAACACGGATTTCAGGCCTCATCTTTTGAGCACAGATTTGTCCAAATTCTAAAAATCCTTTTATGGTAATATAAATTCTAGATGATAGAAAATTCATTCGTCCTAATACCACTGAGGAACATTATTTTGAAATTCTACTATTTTAGGGGCACTTTGTTGGAGGCTGGGGAATCTCGGCCCTCCATTAGTACTGAGAAATTCAGCTTTTCTGAAATGTTCTTTTTATTCCCACACCTTTCGTTGTCTTTGAAGTAAGTTTAAAATTTGCATGAACTAGAGTTCAGCTGACATCATAAACAAACTCTGTTTGCACTAAAATCCAGCCTGATTAGGTTTAGACCAAATAAGTGACATGATTATTCTCTACTTGTTTTACTAAATTGCCTTAATAAGTCCTGCATTACTTTCATTTTATATTTCATCCCATTTGTAACCAGTGTTGTGAAATATTATTCCGTTACATTTTTCATTGTCTGAGGAGACAGTGACTGCAGAATTTAGAAATATATTGTTTTATTTTTCAATTACTATATCTTAAAGTGTTTTACAGAAGTGTCAAAGCTGTTAATATTTGTTTAATTGTTTATTTGTTGTCTTCATGGGTCATTTTGGTACAAACTGATCTCCTTGTTATCTGTGCAAAGAATGTTTTAACAAAATTGCTTTGGACCAAAATCGTTTTCCTATTGTTCCCTATGGGTTGGCATTTCTATTCTTCAGTTTCTGGTTCAATACAAGGTTTGTGAACTATTGTAAAGTCTCCAATTTATTCTGTCAACTTTGGAGAATAATACATCTTGCCTAAAGATTGCTCCCCGCTTGGCTTGATGTTGTTCAGCGATTTTTTTCTTTATAGCCGAAATTATCCAGCAGCACATAATCCAGGTCTTTTAAGGTTGAACTAACACACTAGTGTGCTTCTTCTTTTTAATTTTCCACTTCTAGCACTCACATATAAATTTGTACACCTGTTAACTGATGAAGAATATACATATAAACACTTCTGAGTCCACCACCTTTAATGCCACAGTTTAAAACTAAAATCATCTTATGTAGAGAAATGACTAAACTGTAGCCATTTTGGTCAAACTCTGAAAACAATGTTATGTGAAACCATCAAAAGAACAACAGATGTCCCACTCAAAGTGCTGTAAATGACTTTCAGCTACTACCATATTCGATTTTAGCTCAGTGTCTGTAAAATATATTGTGATTTGCTGTGGTGGCCATATTGATTCAGAAAGTTAATCAGATGTAGATGCACATCATTTCCTGCAGCCTTCATTTAAACCCATTCATATGATATTTTGCTAACAGACACACATGCACAGATGTGGACAAAGCCTTTTTTTCCCCCACTTAGCGAGTGATAATTGTAGATTAAAATTACTTGTTGCTTAAAAACTTTTCATATGCATCCAATTAATTACACATATAAGATACAGATCAAACCCACCAAGATTTATGACTTAAAATTTATTAAATACAATTAATATTTTATAAATCCTTCAGGGATTAGCACAGTTCTGATGTGATAATAAGCACCAGATGTTCAGGAGCCTTTATATTAGTTTATAATCTGATTGGTAAAAATGTCTTTAGGCTGAGGGATGGATGATGAGTCCAGCTGGTGCTGAAGAAAGATTTAGATGCTCTATCACTCAGTTACCGTCCTTCACCACCTTTGCTTTGACAGAGTGTTAATTTATGCGTACGCCCAGTCCGGCTGACTCGAGACCCAAGGCTGTGGTCAAAGTGCGTGGGTGTTTTGCATTTCTCTACGTGACAGCGACTGGAAGGAAAAGACCAAGCGCAGCATGCAGGGAGACTTTATTCCTACGTGTGTGACGCTCTGAGAGTCCTTAGAGCTGGCATGTGGGGGCTGAAAGGGGCCACATTGGGACTGTTGATGAAAGTTTGAGTAGCAAAATAAAAAAACATATTTTTCCCCTTGTAGTACATTTATATAAACCAGGTTTAAGGCAAAGCAAGTTTCCATGGTTACCGTCTGAAGGTAAGGAGAGGTTTTTAAAATATATATATATATATTTTGTCACTAAAACACTCTGTAAATGGTAGCAATAGTGGTAATCTAACATCAGGATTAACAATGGAGTCCCACCTCCACAGCCTTGTCCTAAGTGCTTGCTGACGTGAGCTTTCCAGCGCTCATAATGTTTCCCAGCGTGACACGAAGGAAAACGGCGTGAGGAGAAAAGCGAGGAACAATGTAATACTGTTATGTGTTAAGAACTCACGGGTTATCCAGCAGCAAGACAATGGGGTTGAGCTCTTTTCTGGGTCTGTAATAAGCTCTGAGAGGCACGATGAAGTTATAGAGACCGTTCCCCGCCGTCTCAGCTGACACGATGATGATCTTGTTTTTAAAACCGTAAGCCTTTGCATCCTCGAAGCTGTTGTGCATGCAGCCCTGCACCAGGAGTGAAAAACAGAGAGGTATTTTAGGTGTGTTTTTTTATTAAGTGAAGGGCAGAGCGAGGATAGGAAGGGAAATGATTGAGGCAGCATGTAATTGAGTGACTAAGTTGAAGGAAAAGCGACTGCCCACCTGGTCCAGTCGTAGGCAGCAGAATGGAGCTTTCTCAGCCAACAGATGGCACAAGGTGGGCGAGCTCCCAATGTACGGAGAGTTGGGAGGATAACCTTTCACATACCTGGAAACAAAGCCAGGATGTATGAATGATAAATCATACCACGTGGTATTTGTTTTAATTTGTGTTTCTTCAAACAGATCACAGCTGGCTCGTGATAAGAGAATTTGAGATATTTCTTATAAATAAAGGAAAATCCTACTTTTCAACAACTGCACGAATAAAAAGACAAAAATGTAAATTGTTACAGATATATTATGTCTCGAAACCAGATTCTTCCACTCTGAATTTGTCATTCTAATTAAAAATAAAAGCTTAAAATAATGGCTTAATTATGACTTATCGCAATATATGATAGTATTTTATAAATATAACTTAGCATCTCAAAATTATGGGATCCGATCTCACTATTATGAGATTCTAAGTCATTTTCACAAGATGATAAGTCAATAAAAAGATAGAATGAATCATAATTTATAAAGTCTCATTAGTAATGCCTTTTGGAAATGGGCTTTCAAAGACTTCACAAAAAGGTAACTGGAGAAAAAACAATTGATATTCATATTAATACATCACATGCTGCTCTGAGGCATCAGAGAACTGCAGTGAATGACAACCAAATAACTGTTCTGCAGGAGCGCACCACATGGGCTAAAGAGCCCTCAGCAGCTGAGTCACCATTTAGACTCCCTTCATTTCTTGTTTATGCCCAGTGTTCTAACACATTAAAACGCTACAAAAAATGCATTTCAGATGCCAAAAACATAAAAAGCCCTTTTGTCAAAAACTTATATTTCACCTCCATCTGAAAGAATCTTATCTTCAGTTTTTGTGCCGATGTTCCGATGCTATTTCCTGTTATGACATGAAAGTTTAGAGTATATAACAGGAAAATAAACTCTTACTCGGTCGATGAGCGTCCCTTTTCATCTGTAAAGACGGTGTCGTCTTCTGATTGGTCACTTAAGAGGTCACAAGGCAGGATGGAGGCTGAGTCGGCTATTTCCTGAACTGGATCGATGCTCGGTCGTCGACCTGCTCCGTTTACTGTAGGGGGGACCAGCTTGCCCCCAGAAATGTTTGGTGGACTTGTGTTCTGAAGATCTATAGCAACAGTACCTGTGAACATGTTCATTCGGTCTTAAATAAATACAGAACTTCTAAATCCGTTTGTTGAAATTTGCTTGAGCTTTTATGTCCCGGGTTGAGTTTTTCTCACCCATGCTGGCAATGATGCTGTGCACTGGGAGTTGTGAAGGCCCATCATAGATTCCCCCAGCAGGACGGCCTTTTCTCTCCTCCTGGTTGAAGATAAAGGCTGAGTTCTCCTCTTTGGTGATGTTAATGTAGTAACAGGTGTCTGCGGCAGCCATTATGTGGTGCGGGCCAGGATTCAGCAGGATGCTCTTGTTTTCCTCCCTTTTGATACCAATAAGACATACCCCATACCTGGAGACGCGCAAAACTGCAGTTACTCTGAAACAGCCACTAACAAGCAAAATGAGTAACTCATTTTTCCCTTTGCCATAGTGTGGGCAGTGTTGCCATAGCCGATGTGTTAAAACAGAAAAAATGGGAACGTACGAGCATCTAAAAGGATCAGAAAATCATCCTGAGGTGAGTGATGCCGACAGCAACGTTCAGCCTGGAAACCTTGGTTCTCAGCATCCAAAGTTTGACGTAGAGAAACATTGTTGGAAAGGTTATATAAACTGTTATAAAAACAAAATTCTCTTATTTTCATGTAAGCAATGCGTTCTGCCCCTCAGCCAAAATGGTCGTTTTTTTATTTAAATGGCAAAAAGTCACACATTTCCATGTTTCAGTCAGATTAAGTCACGCTGGGCTGCTCTGAAATTAGATAAAATTTAAAAACATTGCATTTTTGGAAAGTATGCATATTGCCTGCCACCTTTCATGCCAAAGTTTTAGGCTTTTGAGGCTAAGGTCATCTTTTAATGAGAAATGACAGCTACAAATAGTTTGGTAAAAGCTTGAAAATAACATGTTCACACAACATTGCAAGGTCTTGCATGGTGTGTACAGTGGTTCTTAGCTGCTACTAAATTAAATGTTTAATCAGAAATGTTTTCTCATTTTAAAATGACCTCCACAGGCTTAAGAGTTTCTTTAAAAAAATCTTATAGTTAAGGTCGGCTTGGGTTTCCTGAGCTATCCCTTAGTCATCAATCAATCAATCAACCTTTATTTATACAGGTGAATATACAGTCATGCTGCTAGGTTTAGACTGCTGGAGGACAAATGGACCACATCTTCTCACTCTGCTGCTGTCTTTACTCACTCTAGTCTCCATGTTTGTATTTGTAATTATTTATATCCATGACATGTATTTTTCTTTGTCTTCACTCTCATAGAAACTACACCTAGACCAGCCGTTTTGTGTTTGTTTGTATTGCTTTCCTGTCCTCTCTAACCCCATCCAGTTTAGGCAGGCCCGATCCTGATGGAGGAATTCTTCCTGTTAAAAAAGGGAGTTGTTACTTTCCACTGTCGCCAACGTGCTTGCTCAGGACTGTGATGAAATGAAGATTTAACTTAATCTGCTGTCTTCTTAGATAGATAGATTTTACTAATTGGCATTAAAATACAAGTGAATTATAAGTAATTAATTAATTTATTTTTGTTAACTGGCGCTGTATAAAAAAACAGAATTAAGCTATTGACATTTTTGTGCTGGCTAAAGTTAAAAAGGGGTGGTGGCCATCTTGAATTAGGTTGACTCCAAATGCTAATTATTTGTAGATATACATACAATACATACTTTCTGAGTTTTTCATTCAAATCTGTTTGGTAATTCACAAGATATTTTTTGCTAAAAGACTAAAAAAACACCCACATTTCACACATACACACACATTATTGCCATTGTAGCGAGCAATATAAATCAGTAAAACTTCCACTTGACAACATCTGCATAAAATGAGAATGTTTCTGTCAACTCACTTCTTGTGAGCATGAAAAGAGGCGTACGTAAAGCTTTTGCCATTATACTCTCCGAAAAACTTGCTGTCACACAGCCGAATGTGGTAGACCTCGTTGCCAGAGCAACACCCATACATCCTCTGCCACTGCTCTGGAGACTGCTGGCCTTCTCTGCAGTGAGAAAATACAAATAAATAAACAAATAAATAAATAAAAGAGAGTCCAGTAAAACGAAATGTTATTAAAATCTAATACATTTACCAAGATTTATTCATGCAGTTTTGGCAAGCACTAAACAATGAAACCCTGCTTTTAACACCAGTAACACCTATTAGTGATAAAAGGCAGTCATTATTGGGAAAGAAAGAAAAACTCTCCTTTAAAAACATCTTTCTAGACTTTCAGGGTCACAGTGGGTCTTTTAATGAAAGCAGGCAGATTGTTCGGTCTTAGACAGACTTTTTGGCTTTGTGACAGTCTTTGTAATGAATTCTGGTGATAACAATTACTGTTCAAGCACTTTAATGGAGTTGAATGAGCTACTCGAGATGCCCAGAATATTACCAAGTGGTTTGCACACTTGTCTTTTAGCAGTTATCAATACTTATGGATAATGACTTGGATGACTTTTCTGACAAACCTATTGTGATATTTACAGATACAGAGCTATACAGTATACTGTACACCCCCCACTCCTCCCCATGTGTGGGTGGTTGATTGCCTCAGTCTCTGACATGAGTTGTCTGTTTGCATGCTGGGAAAAATCATTTACCACCACAGAGCTTTTCAAGCTGTTTTATAGAGAATATATGCTTTAAAAAAAGAAAAGAAAAAAAATCAATTTTGTGTGACACATGTTCTCCATGTTTGCTGCATTTTCTTCATTTCTCGTGGTGTTCTACAATAACTACGAGTTTCGTCCATGCTTTAGCTTTCTTCATAACTTTCTTTGCCCGTTCCTTGGTTTCTTTAAACGAATCAGCTGGTGTGACCATGCGAAGGCATCTGAACTTTGCAGTCACAGTGGGTGGGCCAAAGGGGTTGGTGACGGTGGCAGTAATCAAAAGCTTTAGAAGGTTATCTAAGATGACTGACCGTCCACGGGAGGTGTGTACCAGGAGGGTAACCAAAGTGGAAGTGGCAGGACACACACAGTTGAGAGCCAACATGGCGTACTTGAACTCCTCCTCACACACAACCTGATCTGAAAATGAACAGGAAGTTAAGTACAGCTCATGGTAGGAGAAGTGAATAAATTCCTTGGATCAAAAATACAGGAACAATAGATTGAAAATAAAGATACCAAAAAAAAAAAGTATTAAAAATACACCTTTGATTACAAAGAAACAAAAGTAAGTTTGTGATTTTTAGTTATCCTGTTTCTTCTTAACCTTAAAAAAACAAGAAAACATGAGTTTTTGGTAGCTCTTTTGTATAGAGGTAATCACAACAGACCTTTTATCTCCACCTCATCCATTATTTTGATGCAGGTCCTAAAGATCAGAACTGAACTGGGTAAAAAGGCTTTTAAATTGTTCGCCGATGACATATTCCAATATATACGTCATTGAGTTGAGCGCACCTACAGCACCCCTAAAACACCCAAAATGGATTCCACTGCAGAGAGTCAGTCAGAAGATACACACCACCCATGGCCTTATTGAAAGATTATTGGAAGACTATTGAAAGACTATTGAAATACTATTCAGTACAGAAGGACAGATTTTATCTCCCAAAAGAGCCAGACTGGACTCAAAAAACTTTGAAAACCAACTTCTTCTGAACTTGAACAATAAATTCTTGCTGCAATATTAAAATGTGTCAGTTCATGGAATGTTAGGAGACAAGAGATGTCTCCAGATGTCTTGACACTCTGGTCCAAATTTTGAAAATGTTGTCAGGAAGTTAAAATATTGTTCACTACTGACAAGGTTGACTAGACAGTATTTTAACTAGTTGATGACAAACTGGAGTTGAAATGATCAGATATTCCTTTGTTAGTTGTGGCTAATTCCCCTTTTTTCAGGCAGACAACTTTTACTTAAACATGTTTACTGCAGTTAAAATGACACATTGGTTTTGCGTTGTGTTAAATAAAAACTTTCAAAGGTAAAATTATTCCTTTTTCTTATTTTGCTTAATGGCATTTAACTCTGCAGGTCATCCCTGAAATTCTGATGCACAGAATCACCAGTCCAGGTGTGAACTGTGTCACAGAGTAAACACAATAAAAACATGTATTATCTGCAGCATTGTTCATTAAAATGGCTCAATACTATTAATGTATTACAGAAAATATACATATAGTAGGCACACTTAATGATGTTGTAGACCATTGCATTATGTAATACATTCAGGAAGTACATGTACTTTTAATACTTTAAGTGTTTTAAAAGCAAACACATACTTTTACTTAAATAAAAATGTTAATGTGGTACTTCTACTTTTACTAGAGTACATTTTTGTCTGTTTATTTGTACTTTTACTTAAGTACACTGAGTACTTTCTCCACCACTGGTTTGATGCTGCTGTCTTGGCCAGATCACTCTTGGAAAAGAGGTTTTTAACCTCAACAAATTATTTTCCTGGTTAAATAAAGGATACATACATACATCCTGTCAGAACCCTCCCCAGTCACTTCTATCTTCTACAAGTTAGGGTGATTAGGAATGAGTCCCGTAAAGGGAGAGCCCAAGTTGAATGGTTGGAGTCAGAATTAGAGATGGTGTGGACGTGTGTAGAGGAGGGATTTAGACAGAGGATATCGAACATGGAGCCACCAGAGAGGAACAACAAGAGGAAGACCACAGAAATTGTGGACAACATGACTGTAGGTGGGGAGTTGACAAGGCTTAAAGCCCCTCAGTGTGAATACACAGACTCTGATTCCAAAAATACAACATGGCAACTTCTGTAAAAATACTTCCCAACAAGCGATGGCAGAGACACTTATCAATATATTGTATATGTCTATGTTGGGGACAGAGTGGAGTGGATGGAGACAAGTGTCTTGTTTGGGACAAGACGGTACTGAGACTTTTTAATGAAATATGGTTTGGAGTCAGTGACGCTAACAAAAGTACAGGAAGCTGAGCTGTAAAAAGTCAAGATCGTGACAGGCTTTTCTTTTAAGCACAAATGGGATTAATATAATTTAAACACTTAAGAATCAAAGAGTTGGTTTAGTATTAAAGTGATGTTCAGAAACAAACATAATCCTGACTGTTTTAGAATGCTCACCTGCAAACTTCACATGAAACTTATTTTCAGGTTTGAGTATCTGGACATAAAGAGGACAGTTTGGAGCAAAGTCTTTTACCGCCCAAGCTCTCAGGATAGTCTGATGGTCCTGGTAGAAACAACAAAACATTGCACATTTTTATCCTAATGAATGAGTGCACTTTTTTTAATAGATGGCATTAAAAGAAAGGTTAAAATAGGGGAAGAAAAAAAATACAGCAGAGCGCATTAATCGTTTTTCGTCTTACCGCTGCCATTCGATCGACCTCGTTCCGACTGCTCAGGATGAAACAAGCCTCTGCGTCATCCATTCTGCAGCAGCGTGACAGCATAGAAAGCAAAGTTGAAACAGTCATTTTAGACACGAATCATAATAACAGGGATAACATAATCACATCTTGACACCAAAGAATCAACAGAGAAGCCACCTGAACTGTAAGAATATAACATAATTTGATCTGTGATTCAGTTAAGCAATACCTGCACTATCATCAGACATCCAAACAACTTGAATGTTGAATGCTGTGTGACTGTGGACCTGTTTTTGCATATGATTAACACAACCAGAGGAGTACAGAATGCAAAACAAGTGTGGGAGGATTTGAAATGGTGCCAGATGAAGGATGCAAGTGCGCCACACACCCAGTCCTTCCTTTCTAATTGCTCTATTAAGACCCTGATGAACATATACAGAGTTACATAACCAATTATCATTAAAGCACTTATTTTGAAATTCATTCTTTTGAAACTCTTTCAAACAACTGGCACACATCTGTAATATCCAGAAATGAGTATAACTTATGAAAATCTTAATGCACCTCTGAAAATAGCTCAACTGAGTGTAAAGATGAGTGGAAGCAACAGAATTATTACTGCTTGAGTTTGACTGTAACTCTGTAAAACAAATGGAAGTCTTCCAGAAATATAGTTTTAGTCCTGTGTGTTTGTTGAACTGCTGTCACTGTGAAGGAGTATTGATGTATACATGGATTCATTTGTGTCAAAACAACAACAAAAGATAAATAAACATTTGCTTTGGCAAATAGAGTGAAATCAGATTTATATTCCTTTTTCAGATTTTTTTCTTGTGTTTTTCATCAAACCTTCAGAAATCAATTAAATGTCTGACATGTCATGTTGATTATTTTAAGAGGAGCAGACTTTTACCAGTTAGATTTTAAAAAAGAAGTATAAATCATAAGTTTTGACAAACTTATTTGCTAAAATATAGGACTGGCAGAATAGCTAGTTGATCTGGGCGATACCAAAAAGGATCGTTTTCAATATATTGGATTTTTCTGCTTCAGCACATATTTGCTCCAAGCTTTTGACAAAACACAACCTATTCATTTTGTTTAAATACTTTTACATATACATGTGTACTTTAATGAGCTGATCAGACTGAATGAGCTTTGCATGTGTACTGATCTGTTGCCAGCTGCACAGAGAAGCATCAATCATAACAATTACTAACATTTGAGGATAAGTCCAGTAAATATAATGATTTGTTTGAGCACACAATTAAAAGAACCTTTAGCAAAATAACCAGCCAAAACTACTGTCTCATTCTGAACCTCAAGAGGGATCAAAACAAATGTTCCCTGAATAAAATGAAGATGAAAAACACAGTGAAATTTAATTTAGTTTATTTAGTTAATTTGTTCTGCTGCTGCTGGAAGGACTTCACAGACATTAGTTTCACGTTTCATACACTAAAACTAAAGGAACTAAATTAGAATTAGTCATTAAAAATGTTTCATAAATCTGGTACACTGTAGTGTGAGCTCTTAGGCAGTGTAATGTATCTCCAATTATATTGTAATTCTTTATCTGTTGAAAAATTTGATTAAAAAAAAATTTTTTTTCCACACATATTATAAGTCATTCCACTCTTGTAAAAGAGACTTCTAAAATAATTTACTGTAAAACGTCTATTAAGACAAAACTTGAAAAGGTTCTGTAGTGATTTATTTATTCTGCATTTTGACCAAAACATATCAAAACATTTTTTTAATTTTTATAAATCCCTTAGGAAGTTGTGCTTTCTCATTTAAAACCAATAACATGTCTAATTATAAATAAAATAATTAAAAAAAACCTTACTGCACGTTGATATTATTGACGCATATTTATTAATTGAAAATGTTTTATTTTTAGCATGCACTAAGATAATTTTATGTCTGGAGCCCAAGTCAAACTGTACGGAATTATCATGTTTGTACAATATGAATATATATATATATATATATATATTTTTTTTTAATTTTTTACAATAAATTTAAAACAGTAATACTCTTCCTTAAAACTGACTCTTTTTTTTTTTGGTTTATTTTTCATCAGTAGTAACACAACGAACCAATATATTTCGCATATTATCTGTTTTCACCCCCTTTAAATCGCGTCATATTGAAATTTGCACATATAACTGGGACGTTACAAAAGCCAAAATCCACAACACAAAGAAGTATTAGTACTACAATAAAGACATCCAGAGGATTCTTTACGCTGGTTTACTCTTGAGTCACTGAGCTGCTTTTGTCTGTGTGAATAATCAGAACAGCAGTGGCTTTTGTGCAGATAAAGCAGGAACTGAGTGGGAAAACAACAAGAACAAAATCAAATCTAACAAAAAAGTGTGAAATACATTGTCTAATGCTTTCCCCCCCATTTTCCGAACGAAATCCCAGAGTAACACATTTAAATAATACTCTAGTTTGCACATCAACAAAGAGTGAACAGCTGTTTCTCATTCAACTCTTTTGTTTCTATAAGCATCAATAAATAGATCTGGTCAAAACAAACTTTTATTTTTTGGAACTGAAAACACTTTTTCACACTATGTCTGTCCATGGTAGGTGTACAACCATAATTCCCCCAAAATTTGGACTTTGTGAAAAAGGTTTAAAAAAAATGCAATAACTTGGAAATCTTATAAACCTGTGTTTTATTCATATTTCAACCATTTAAGATAATACATTGCATAATCTTAAAGAGGAAATAAGATGATTTTGCATTTAATGACACAACATCTAAAAAAAAAATGGGACAAGGGCAACAAAAAACTGTAAAAGTAAATTGTATGATAGTGAAACAGCTGGAGGGACATTTAGCAGATAACTGGGTTAACTAGTAACAGGCCAGTGAGGTGACTGGGTATAAAAATTGCATTTTAAAGAGGCAAAATTGATCAAAAGTAAAGATGGGAAGAGGTTCATCAGTCTGGGAAACAATACATCTAATAAAAATGGAACAATTTCAGAATAATGCTCTTCAGTGGAAGGTTGGAAAGACTTTACATATACAGTACCATAATCGACAGCTCATGAGATCATAAAGAGTCTGGAGAAATCTTTGTACACAAAGGAAAATGCTAATGCCACGATCTTCAGGTTGTCGGGCAGCACGGCACTAAAACAGATTCTGTTGAAATTGAAAACATTTTGGCACATCCCAAACGAATGAGCAGCTCCTACATCACATATGAATGGGATAACATTAATTACAAAAACTACACAAACATGTCTACTGTTAAAAAGAGGGGAGGCTTCACAGTGGTAAACATGGACTGTCCCATATTTTTTGAGATGGGTTGCTGCCAAAAAACTTAAAATTACATTTTTTGACTGAAAACTTCCTGCTATTCCTCTTTGGTGAATACTTTTAGGCTTCACGTACTTGGCTCTCAGCAGATCTTGATCTTTGAGGACAGACCCCTGCAGATAGATGACTCTTTGGGACCAAAGAGGAATCTGCAGCACCCTTCGCACTTGCAGGTCCATCTCAGTAGGGCACAGGATCACCACGTAGTAGTCCTTGAAAGTTAAACCAACCCTGAGTTAGAAAGTGCAGAAAAACGTGAAATAAAAATGTACACGGACGTCATTTGGTACCTGCAGTCTGGGATGTGCGTAAAACTCATTAAGAAAATCCATGAGCAGGTCTATTTTGAGTGCGCTGACACACAGAACTACGTGTTTTTCTGTCTGAGCTCTGTGGCGGCTGTAGTTCCCTCCAGACTTCTGTCTCTCCATCCACAAGTAGATCAGCTCCTCGAACTGACACACAACAGACTTTGTCGCTAAAGAACGTGTGAAAGGCAGCAAAGATGAGCTGCACGTCCTCCTACCTGGAGAGGCAGCACCACCAGAGCCACACAGATCATGATGACCACCAGCAGTTGGGAGGGCCATATGCGGGGGGTCACATCCCCAAAGCCCACAGTGGAGAAGGTGACGATGCAGAAGTAGAAGGAGTTGAAGAGGGAGAGGTGCTTACCTGCTCTCTCTAGATGCTGAATCCCACATGTGCTGTTAAAAAAAGAATGCAATCAAAGTCAAAACAAAATCAATATAAAGTCCTAGCATTTCTTAAAGGAATGCATGTTGCCCACCGCTGTTCATGCCAGACCTTTAATTGATTACTTCATGCTGGAAAGAGATGGAGTTATAGTTCTTATATATGATCTCATGTGATATTGTGAGATCTTCTTCCTCTTCCTCAGAGAATGTGTGGTAAATGACTCTCAGCACTGCTACACAAAACTGAGCTCAGCACCTAAAATTAACAGAGTTAAAGCCACTTTTATATTTACGAAAAATGACAAGGCGTGATCTTCGACTTGACTTGGACTGACTCCAGATGTTGTTGAGTTTTAGTTTTACATCCATTGATTACTTTCTGAGAGTTTAAGTAAAGTCTGTCCAGTGGTTCACAGGATGTTTTGCTAACAGACAGAGTTGACTTCATCAGGTCATGATGTGCCATAACACAAAGACACAAACAGTGCACTCCTGGTTAACACATCAGTTTTTGTTACAGACAGAACAGACAGAAAATATGTGAGTTCAAAGCAATTTGTTAAATTTCATAAACACTTTTGTGAGATTTTATTTTATTTAATTTGTTCATCATTATAGCAACATTTAACTAAAAAAAATATATGTATATACATATATATGTATGTATATATATATGT